GTGATAACAGTGACTGGAATACTGGGGTTAGTCTCTATAATAATATTCCATAATAACTTGCTTCCTGCAATAATGGATCAGCAGGTTTAGGTGGGTTTAAATTAGTGGTAGGATTTCCCTCCTGCAAAAGTTCCACCTGGAGTGTGAACACATCTACGTGATAGTTGAATGTATAGCCAGGTTACATTAGTGATTAACATAGCTAGTCTTATAGAAATATATGTACTAATGCAGTGTTAAGCTGCAGATTAACTGTAAAAGACATAATGGTTATAATACAACTTTATTCAAAAACCGTTATGGTTAATTTGTAGAAGACACTTGGTGTCTATCTAGATATTATATATCAATAAAGATTATATGCCGTGCACATGTTCCACTATAAAAAAAAAAAAAAATTATAAAAAAATTATTAAATCTCAATTATTTTTTAATAATATATATATATATATAGTATATGTTTCTAATCAAATTACAATTTTATATATTTATTAATCTTATAAAAACAATAATATATTGAATTATAATGTTTTATATTAAAGCTAAACTATGCATATTGCAAAACATCTATCAATAAGTTATTTGTAGATTTGTATATGATTATTGAATTTTTAATATTAAGACCACCATGTTTAATAAAATATTATTTATTAAATTAATATAAAAAACTGATGGTTTAATATTAAGTTAAAAAAAATAGTTTAAAATTTTATTAATCTATAATTAATTTATTTATATATTGAAATAATTTGAATAATTAATTAGATATTTTTTTTGTAAATGATAAGAAAATTAAAAAATTTAATTTGATATCTCTTTTTAATTAAAATTTAATAATATATTTAAAAAATTTTTTTATATATTTCTATTCTTTATATCTTTAATAAATAAATATACATTTTTGATTTTAATTTTTGATGATTTATTTTATTCCAAACTACAATATATATACAATGTATAATTTAATTTTAAATTGATTTATTAGAAATTCTTAAATTTAAATTTTAAAAATTTATTTAAACTTTAAAAATTTAGTTGTTTCCAATAAAAATTGGTTTAAATCGTTTATAAAAATATTATAAAAAAAGCTTATAACATTTAAAAGTAGCTCAGACCTATTAAATTAAATAGGCTGTTAAGGTTATCATCATTTAATTGAATTTCTTGGCTCCGGACATATTTGCTAATACATTCACAGAACCGGAAACTCTAAATCAAACCTTTTACCTTAATTAATCATCGCTACCAATAAAAATCATTATAATGTTTTAAAAACATTTTCAGATTTGGCTAATCTTCTTCATTTCTTTTGATAAGTAGTAAGTTTATCAAAAGATCAGAATCCTCAAAATATATGGAATACTTGGTTTCAGAGAAAAACGAATGATTAATTCCTTCTCTCTTACTTATCCCAACTACCACGAAAAGGTGTATTCCACAGTTGGGTTATTTAAAATAATTCGAAAAAAAAAAAAAAATCTCAGGGTTAAATCATCAGATCCTAGCGATAACATTAATTATGATGCCTACTCTTCACAAAGTCGTCCGCAAAGGATTTATCTAAACCCACATTTGAAAGATGATCAAAAATAATATTTCAATAACAAAACAAAATTACTAAAAAAATTCATTCTACCCAATTAAGCCTGGGTCGAATAATAACATCGTAACGTTCTATCACAACATTCCGCCAGTAGGATAAATTAACAATAGCCTAAATCCGGCCAAACATATTAGTGAGCTCCGCCTCCATATTATAGAAGAAATCTTGGTTGTCATGAGTCAGTTATCCATACGGTAACCTTTCTAGCACCTTTAGCCTCAAATTTTTAAGATCTGGAAAATCGATATACTATCATGGTCCGTATTCACATTGAAATTAAATATAGATATAGATTTCCTTTACACTATTGTTTTGCTCAATATTGTTCTGTTCAAATTGCGCCCCAGGTAACATTTTTAGCCGGCTTAGTCATTTCCCCAATTAAGAAATTTAGATAATATGAGCCGCTGAGTGAGTCGACTAAGCCGACGCATACTGTATAGATTCATGTAATAATGTATTTTCCTTAATCTTAAATCAACCAACTAAGAAGATCGAAGAGCACTTCCAGGGCACTCAGTTACCTTTATTTATGTTTTAGTACCTTCCACCTTACATGATTAACGCGGATAAACAACGATGCGAATTCCTAATCGAATGATTAAGTTTATAGTATTTCCTCGTTGTGGCGTCCTTCCATTACACTCACTCTATGTTGTTTTCTAGAAGCAAGTTAACAAGTTTTCGATTGTTCAAGCCCATTCCCTAACTGTGGCTTCAGAAGACGGTAAATTTAGGCAAAGATTGTTAATCTACCCGTGCATGTCAAAACAGCAGTGTTAAAAGCCATGACGTAAATTTTGTGCATGTGATTGAAAAAGCAAATCTTACCATATTTAACAAGTTGTGTAATATATTGTATTGTAATTATTGTAATTGAATAATTTAATTAATTCAATGTATTCCTAAAGCTAAAACTTTTATTATTGATTTAATAAAAAATCAAAACATCCTACACTACACCTAGGATCACGAAATTACAAATGTCATATAATACTTTTAAATTCCAGTTTTAAACTTTCCAAAAAGTGCCAAAAATTAAGAATAAGAAATTAGGAGTATACAATTTGAAGATGCAAGCTTATAATTCTGACCACATGTCGTTTTGATCACCTTGTGCCGCCCTGTTTTCGCACAGTCTTCCTCTCATGGCAAATGTTGATATTAATAGTACATGCGCGAAACCCAACATCAAATGTGTTTTCCCTTTTTTTCTGAAAGAAATTAGATGCTTGATTAGCTCCATCCAATAAATTTTACTCACACCAGGTCTAAAAACACTGACAATAATCACTTACACCAAAAGATCCAATATTGCAAATATTAAAATCGGATAGAATACCCATGGTGAAGGTAAAAATGGCGAACAAGGAGATGTACATGTCGTGATCTGATTAAAGCAATATGAGAAGAATGAAAGCATAATAAATCTTATTACCATATAACGAGGATAATACCTTGAGAAGAAAAATTAAGATTTTTGCTATCTTCCAAAAGCCACCATTTTCAAAAATATAAGAGTATATAATTCTCGGAAAATACATAGATCGAGATGCGGGCATCAAACGAACCATGGCTGCCGAACTTCCATTGATTGGGATATTCTTTGATAGATAAAAGCAATATAAGTACGTGAAATGCATCCTTGATACCATAAAAAACAGACCTGAACAACCGCAGGACTCTGCCCAATAATCACCTCCCTCTCGACGTTAAGGTAAGCATTCGATTGTGACACGTCACTACCTGCAATTTCGTGCGTCCCATTTTTTTTCTTTCGCCTTCGTATATTATCATCACCGAGTTGTTCGTTATCAACCACCAATTTAGAAGATGATGTTTCTGACGCAGGATCAGACTGCTCGATTTCCAAATGATTATTAAAAACAACACCTGACTGTTTAATGAAAAAATATAAAAAAAAGGACCTTGTGACATGACCGCTTGATACTATGTATAATTTGATAATATGCAAACCAGTTTTGAAAATTCGGATTCTGAATCGACAGATGCCGAAGCCGTAGAAACTTGTGGCTCGCCGTCACTCATGGAAGGCAGATCTGCAAACAAAGGTTCCTACATTATATTTAAAATCAAGCGAATTAAGTTAAAAATGAATTGTATGCATATTTACTCTAGATGTTTCTCGACTAACATTAACGGATTCCCTGAAAGTTGATTTGATCTCTCCGATAGAATTCAAAATCTCTTCACAGGAAGGTCTATCTTTTGAATTACGTGACAGTAAACGCGTAATCAGACTTCGAAGATAAAGAGGAATTCGACGTTCATTTGACGTGCCCCGAATCGACGCGTCGTATTCCGAAAATCGAATGCTATTGCTATATTCAAAACAAGACATTTTAATCATTATCGTACTGGTTCATGTTATCAATGAAATGGTGTCAAAGTTTAGACCAACCCTTGAAAGTGCAAGATTTCATCTTTCAGCAAGTCAACGTCTTCGACTTGGCGATATGGAAGTCTTGAATAACATAAATAATGAAGCACCATTCCTAATGACCACATGTCGGATTTCGGTGAATAATCTTTAAGATATAACCCTCTATCGTCCACTAAATCAAATAAATTGGCTTCAATAAGAATATTTTGCATACAAAATTAATGCATCTTTCATTTACCAGTTAATAATTCTGGCGCCATAAACTCTAAAGTTCCAGTAGCACCAGTTCGATCGCGGTCGGTAAGTTCGTCCAATATTTCGCACTCTCCAAAATCAGATATCAAAATTCGTGGTCTATTACGTGTCAGAGCGAACAATGAACATATAAGCATCACGGCCTATCTAAAAATATTCGATAATGAACATGGTACTAACATGCCGACTCGATTATTCGGATCATTATAGTGCAATAATAAATTCGAAGGTTTTAAATCACGATGCACGATTCCTTGCTGATGAAGATGAGCCAATCCTTCACAAATGTTCATAAATAACAAATTAATTTCTTGTACATCCAATAGACGTTTGGAGATCACTGGAGAAGTGCTAGTGGAGGGCTCTTCGCACATGTGATCTGCATGTCGCATTCTTTTCGCACGTAGTTTTCGTTTCATCGATGTAAGCTTTTCTCCAGAATCTTGCTCAAAAGAAAGCTGCGGTTGCACATCAATGTATTCCTCTAAATTCCCACCATTTGCGCGTTCCATTAATATAAATAAACATGGTACTTGTGGACCTATTTTAACAACGAATCAGATTAAATTATAATTTTCGCAAGTTATCAGACTCAGGTAGGTACGTACCGAAATTTGTTAGCTGATGATATTCCAACCAAGCATGTTTGTATTCCACAATATTTGGATGACGTAATTTTTCCAATAAGTGAACTTCCCTCAACATCCTAGCTAGCCAAGCATGGTTATCTCCTGATGAAGTAGCAAAAAGTGAATTGCCTGCTGCCGAAAAGATGTTTCATAATGATTTCAAATTTGCTCTCACCTACGGCCACCTTCTTAATGGCATATTCACCAAGCGGGACATTATCTAAAACATGCTATTACCATTATTAAGACGTTGAAGTCCGTAAAATATGTTATCAATTTTCCATTATAAAGATTCCATATACACCCAAGATTACCTTGCAAAGATAAACGGACCCACGATATCCTCTACCCAGCTTTTTTTCTTCAATAAAAAATCTTTCATAATATCCTTGGTTAAATGAACTCTGTGAAAGTGTTGGAGGATCTTCTATATTATCCGATGATGCCGGTATTTCCGTTGTTGGAGTGAAGGTTTGATGTGAAAACGTCTCGGATAATGACGATGATGATGAACGCTCTCTTGTTATGCCTGGACCGAGATTTGAACTTCATAAATTATTAGGCAGCAGACTTAAATTTTTAATAAATACATTCAATTGGTGATTATCGAAATAACACCAATGGCTTCGACCAACCTCTCCGAATTTTCTAACAAGCGAAAATAGTTTCTAGCCATAAAGTCCGGTTCCGGTGTCTTTTAGTCAAGATTTAGCAAGGATGAGAAAGGTAAAATTTACATTCATATTGCACTTAAAAGAAGATCAACCTACCTTAGTATGGGATGCATCAAAAGGTCTACCGCACATATAGCAAGAGTGAGGCGTGGAAAAGGCCTTTATATTTATATAAAAAGAACGTGATATTAATAATACACCCACGAAGAAACTTTATAATAGGTTAAAAATTTCAATGAACCTGCACTGTTGAAGAAGTATCATTCTGTTGCAACCGTCTCACAGAAAATCGGCGGTTAGCTGCATTGTAAAGTACAAGTTGACCAGCGTTTTCGTTACGCCTGGAAGACGAATTAATCCCAGAATTTAAAAAACCGATTTTGGAATATAAGTGTTAAATTTTTTATTTAAATAATTACAATTATCTGTTTTAATATTTAGGACGCGTCTTGGAATGATTATCAAGCCTCATGATCTATGAATCCATTACTCCTTCGCCCACAAGATCATAAGAAACTACTAAAACTCACAAAATCACTGTCCAGTCTTTTGAATAAGGAACAAGTTCGTTAGAGCTGGAAGATATCTGTCCTTGTGGTAGTTGCGATCCACCACTGTCACCATAAGCAAAGGTGTTTCGTCTAGATCGCGTTCCTCTGTGGGCATTTAAGAAAAACTCGTCGCTTTCAGTTGAAATAGACATTGAAAAAATTTTCGGGAGTCAACTTGCAAATTAAATTCCCACGAGAAGAATTTGCTAATGGCTACGCAGAATCACGAGTTCTTTTGAATTACGCAAATTTTAATTACGTATCAATCAGCAGATCCTCCAAATCATATATAAATAAGATAGGATTTTTTTGAGAACAAAAAAAAGGAAAAATGTCGACCTCCGCTGAACCACAGCCATCGAACGATATACTTTATTCCGATCCTCACTTTCATATAACCGCTACACATTTAACAATAAAATATTATTATTTTCCAGTTCCGATGCCAATCGTTATCCCTCTTACGGAAATTGTCTCAATTGACACATTTGAAGATCTGAACTTGGGGTGGTTCTCCCTAAAGACGGTTTGGATTCACTTCAGACGAACAATACATTTATCATTGAAATTGAATATCTAATCATTGACTATGACTATTTTTTTTATTTTCTTTTTATTATTAGTGGGGAATGCCAATAAATAATATCTGGTTCGCCTTGGACTTGCAGCGATACTTTCTTCCAGCGAACCAACTTTGCATTGTTGAGGTGAAAGATGACTGTATTAGGAAAGGATTTTCGGTGGATGATCACATGGCTATTGAAATTTTGAGGAAAGCTTGGCGCGAAGCTTTGGCTGCTAAGAACTCATGATGGGATGGCACGGCATGACGTGATGTGGTGTGATGCTATGTTATCCGTTAGAGAATATTAAATTTTATATTATATTTCCTTCCTATTCTATATTTATGTATATAAAACATAAAGGTTATTACTATTTTGATTATTAAATGTATGAGAATAAAAAGTGTTAAATGTTTGATATCACGAGTATACCAGTTTGTGTTCAAATATGGTCCCAGGAATGTGGACAAAACTACTTATATATAAAAGGAAAGAAGAATGAATAACAAATCATCCGCATTAGTCTAGTGGTTAGGATCTCCCGCTCTCACCGGGAAGGCCGGGGTTCAATTCCCCGATGCGGAACACAAATATGTAATTATTTTTTTTTTAACTGGTATCGTTTTTTGAATATTGGTTAAGTGGTCTTTGAATTCGAACTATCCCACAATTACCAAACACCGTACAAATTGCAAAACCCTCCCTTTTATTTTTCTTTGTTATCTTTATTCACTAGACAATTGTCTATAATGTATCAAGAGTTTGTTGTCAACTGGTGTAAAAATCAATCTTGACCTCTAACTCTGTGAAGTTACATCAATAATATTGTCTTATAATGATCTTATAAGAGTTATCTAGGCTTCGTAACTATTGATTTCTGTGTTATTGAAGTCACCGGCTCTTGACATTCAGCGAGACGAAAGTTTAGATAAATGATATTATAACAAATACATCGTGCATACTCAGACGGTATACTAACGAAAGTTATTTTTTTTAATCGGCTAATATTTAAATTTCTAATAAAATTTATATAATTGTAATTAATTAATAAATATAATTTATTAATAAAAATTGATTTGCTTATTATTTGATATATCTGATATAATATTCAATTATACAAATTTATATTTTATAAATAGATTTAATATTTTTTTTATTAAAAACTTTTCAATTGGTTTATTATTATTATTTTATTTATTTATTTGTATATTACAAAATGCCAATGAGTTTTGAAATGAATTAATTATATTCATTTTTTAAAAAAATAATTTCAAATTCATTTTGAATTAAATGATAAATTAAATAATATAAATTGTAAAAATCTTTATATCATTATAGAATAATTAAATTTTATAGTCTTATTTATATTTTTTTATTTTATTTTTTAAAAATATTATAATTCAATATAACTATATATAATTTATTTTTTAAATTTTTATAATTTATTTTTTTTTTGTTTATTAATATAAATTTATTTTTATTTTTAATATTAAAATTTATGTAAACTATTATAAAAATTTATAAATCTAAAAATTTAATTAGTAATGAATTTTTAAAAAAATAAATTTATTAGAATTTACTAAATATAATATAAAATTGATTTTTATTATATAATTTATTGTTATTATAAATTTAAAATTTCAATTTTATAAAAAAAAACTTTTTTCCGTACACAACATTTTCTTAAAAATTTCCTTTTATAGTAATTTTCAAAATTAGAGAAAATTTTTTTTCACTCTCCAATATCTACAAATTCTCTACACCTTCTTAACTTTCAATATCAAAAACTTTAAGGAACTAAAGAAGCACACTGGTGCATCGAGATGAGACCTCTGGTCAGGAGTAAGCAAGCTTGAAGAACTTGCTTTTCTCTTGAACTGTATAAGGAAAGGCTCGTGGCAGTTGCTTCTTTACAAGTTTTCCTTGGGGTTTTTCCAATTTACATTTCTTATTAATACACCACTTATTAATATATAAACACTTTTAAATATTCATGTTCTTAACTTGAAGGACTTTATTTCATTTCAAAACACAAACTTTCACATCAACTTTGTCTATATCACTGGCCTGGGGAACCATTGGTATATACAAAAAACAACTTCTATCATTACTCAACACATTTTACTGCACCATAAAAAATCAAAAATTCTTGCTCAAAAACTTTTTTTTCAAAAAACCGTAACCAGTTTGCCCCTGGCAATTGATTAACATCCTACCTTCAACCAATCACACATTATCAAATATTCAAACACATCTATTATACCTGCCAAATATCAATGTAAACAATACCAAAAATAGAAATCAGTTCAACCATATAACCTCATTCCATTAAAAAACATCAAAACAACAAACATGTTTCATCAATCAATTCAAAAACAACAACATGGCTCTAACTTTGCAAATCAACAACCACTACATTTAAACCTATCATACTCAACCAATCACTCAACCAATCAATCATTACTACCACAAACTATAAACTACCAAGGATATACTGTATGTTATTATCACAAGTATATATTTTGAACAATAGTCTAGCCAATCGATATAGTATATTTTTCAATATACTCAAACAGAATAGAACTATCAGAGTGGCATACTGAATAAGCATCCTTAATTATATAACTAATATTACTATCATATACTTAAATAACTATCCAACCAATCAATCACTACCATCACATACCAGCAACTATCAAGAAGACATATCATCATTACTACTATATACTCTGGACAGTAGCCTGGCCAATCAATATAATATATTCTTCAGTATACTTAAACAGAATGGAACTATCAGAGTGGCGTGCCGAATAGGCATCCTTAGTTATATAACTAGTTTTATTATATTTCTTACTTGTATAGCTTTGAACATAGAATTTTTTTTTCTTTTTTTCTTTCAATTTTCTTTTACTTTTCATTTCACTTACGTCCAACAAAAAATTTTGAGTAAATAAGCATAGCTGCTACTCAACTATATTTAGCATATATAATATTGTTTTAAAAATTTCTTTTCGATATTAGCTAGGTA